TCTTACTCAGTCTCTCCCCAACCCCGAGGTTAGTCCCATTCTACAACAGTGGCATCATGTAATATTTGTCCTTTTGTGACTGGTATATTTCACTCAGCATAATGTTCTCCAGAGTCAACCATACAAAAGACTTTTTTATAAGGAAAAGTTCAAAACACTAAGAAACAATAAGAGACCTACATTAGTGGAAAAATATTTCCTGTTCATGGATGGGAAGACTGAACATTGTGAAAAAGACAGTCCTACCAAAAGCAATCTATAGGTTCAATGCAATTCTAATATAGATATTTAGTTCATTATTCAAGGAGATAGAAAAGGCAATTTCCAGTTTCATTTGTAAAAGAAAGGAATCTATAATAAGCAAAGCTCTTCTGGGAAAAAAAATGAAGATACATCCCATTCGCTGATCTCAAAACCTACTGTTGTTGTTTTTGATTGCCTTTGAGTCCAGGTCAACTCATAGCGACTCTATGAACAAAAGACCTAATGCCTTTCCATAGCTATCGTTTCTCCAAGTTCATAGAGTTTCCAGAGGCAACTGTGGTTTAGGAAGTGGTTGCCACTCCTGCTTCCCAACCTGTTTTACAACAGGGAACTCCACCAAACACTGTCCTCAATGGGAAACCATTCTGGTATTTGATATCCCTATGGCATAAGGTTCAGCATCATAGCAAACCCAGGTTGCCTTATATAGCACATTGACAAAGAGTGATGTACAAAGAGCAAGAATGTTCCTCCAGATATAATAGCACTAGTCTCATTTAGCAGTGGTTAAGCGTTGTCGAGTCGAATATGACTCGGAATAAGCTTTGCACAAAAGACATGAATTCTCTTCTATGATTAACATACTTTCTGTAAGAGAGTTTATAGAGTTTTTAAAGCCTCCAGTGGAGGCTGGAAGACCTATCATAGGTACTCAGCAAATTGTTTCCTGATTGATTGATGTCTTTTATTTCAATATTAGAACTGATAGTTGAAAACCTGTCTAATTTTGTCTGAACATATGAATAACAAACTTCAACATCAAATATCTGTAAATATGGATTTCAATACCACTTCTACCAAAATATTTTCATATAAAGTGTTGTTGTTGTTGATGTCCCTCTCTAAGGACCGGTCTCTCCTCACAACGTGTCCAAAGTAAATTAGACGGAGCCTCAGAATCCTTGCCTCCAAGGAGCCACCCAGTTTAACCCTCTCCAGGACAAATCTGTTTGTTTT